TTGGGAATCGTAGGAGTAGGGGATTTTTAGCCGGAGCACAGCAGAGGAAGCCCCTCTGACATAACGGTTCCACAGCATCTAAGCTTGGACAGGTGTTGCCCTCGGAACATTTCAAAAAACCTCCGAAACTTAGTTTTTGAGTGTTCTTAGTATTCATTTTTTAGCATCCTACAAGACAGTGAGCAGTTGAATCTCAATAGTAAGCAGAAACTTAGAAATCTTGGTTCCACCACATACCGCTTCGTGGCCATTGGAAGATGAACTAATTAGATAACATTTGCAGGAAATCTAAAAGAAAACTACACAAAACTAGTTTCCCTGTTGGTGGAGTCACATCATAACGAGGGTCTACCCCAGGAGCCTACGGAAATGTTAAACTTCAGCAGACACCTTCATTTAACAAATTTAGTCCCTTGAACTTTAGACTGCGACTTTGTGGGGTTATTATTTCACTGTTGACACCTTGTCTGGGTTACCTGAATCCTATGATGTCACACCGGGTTTCATTCAAAGAAAACTACTTTTTGAACCGTTTGTTTGTCGCGAGACTTGTGACCTTTCGCGGAACTAACGTTGAACTTACGAGAACCTGTTGACTTATCAATCACACTTTAAACAGCTGTCTGAGACATTTCGCAAAGCCTGCGTATCCACTTTTACGAATTTCAGTAAAAACTGCAGATTTCAATTATTTGTTTTACAGTTAGTGCCCGTGAAATTAACAAAAATGCTTCTTTTTTAGGGTAGGGCCCTTTTTTTTAGGGCCTACTATGTTCCTCCCTCTAAGAATGCTGATTACACATCCCTTTCCAGTTGTTTACATCAACAAATTCTCTATTTATTTATCCAACTGTCATGATCAAGATACTAATCATGTGGTGGAGAAAGGGAAGAAGCCACGAATTTTGATTTTCATTTCGTTCTACTTCGTAGCCCCCTCCGAATACATGACTTCGTTCCCTCTCAATGAGTTGGTCTTGTCACACGTGCTGAATAAAACTTTTTTTCAGCAATTTTTAAATCATCCACCGTGATTTGTGTTGAATCGTTCACATTACCCTGTAGTTACATCGCACAATAAAATGGTAGTCAGTTAGTGCTTCGGCGTAAATTCGCTCTCAGAGGTGACCCATACCAACAATTGGGAAAACCAAAGCGCTCCGTTAGTTCCACAAGCCAGCAGTGGGAAATGGCTAACATCTTCGCAAATCCGTCATAGTTTGGTCTTTCAGCTAAACTTTTCGAAGTTTCTCTTTCTGTGAAGAGAGGATCACCTAATAAGGATACCGACGAAGGTAGTAGGGGAAAAATTAGCGCACAAGTCATTTCCTGCCTGCATTGTTGATTCAATCCTAAAAGATTTTCAAAATTTTACTAATGTTTACTGATGTTAATGATCAGAAGAAGGTCCTTCGATCTCAGCGGTGCACTCGACTGTTTTTGAGTTCATGCTTTGCTAAAGTTCAACTAACGAAATCGAGTATTTTTCTCTTCACGCCTTTAGAACGATTAGATTTTGTGAATTAAAACCTCTATCATAAAAGAATGTTCATGATCTGGCTACACACTACACGACACAGTGTCTCTAAGGCCCCCGGCTAGGATAAAAGAGAGCTTGGGAACTTCCAGGTGTACGGGCAGGTAGTTCAGTGTTGTCTCCTCCCATCGCTCTTACAACATATCGATCAACCACATTGCGTTTTGATTGTCAGCTTCTTTCGATTTAGGATGCCACGAAAAAGCTCTTTTTTGCTTTGGCTCTTCCACAACCTGGCCTCATTCGACATTTCCCTTGTTAACTGAGAAATCTTTTGCTAATATTGCAAACTTCAAAACTAACCTGCTTACTAACTATTATTCCTCTCTAGCAATACATTTTACCAGATTGAGAAAAAATAGAGAAAATACCTCTCCCATCTGCTCAAAAACTGATAAGATCTGAATTGCAGCTCATATTTCTGTATTGCAGATGATCCACGGGTTTGCTATTTCATTTCTGATCTTTGTATTGCCAAATTCCAACGCAATAGAATGCTACACAGTGAGTTTTTTTCTGATTTACTGCCTTTTTATGACGCAATTTGTGTTTTTTGCTTTCGCTTTTCTTCTCGAATAATAATGGCAGACTGGACCAACCCCCATTGAGCAACAGACGCAAAAAAGGGCCACACTCACAAAAAAAAAACTGGGGAAACTCTACGAGAAATAGTCGCTTTTATGTCATTGACTAGTAACTTGGCACTTAAAGACACAGTGCACGATAAAAATGCTCATGAGATATCACCCTGGGATGAAATCGTGGCCATCTTGTATACCATATGTGGCGCTGTCAAGTCGGAAAACGGCCCAGTCAGGGCGGTAAAAAGTCTCAAAGATTGTGCCGTGTTTATCCTCGGACGAGTTACACCGGCACTGGAGAGGCTGCACCAATCACGAAGGACCCATGCAAGAAGTTTGAACAACCTGTGATGACCCATAACGACTAAGGAAGGCAGTTCTGTACAGTTCTGGCATGATGTGGACAGCTCCCTGCGCAATTTCAATAACTGAAATCTCATCCGAATGCCTCTTCGATGTTACTTCCGACATGGCAATCTCGTCCAAGCTCTATTTTTACTTTTATTGGGACCTCGTTTGTTTCGGAATCGGCGAATTTACTTGCTTTTTTCACTACCGATGAATTATTTAGAACCTATACCTCCGCTCTNCAAGATTATCATGAACTGTGCCTTTAAATGGAACATTTAAAATTGAGAGAACTGATAGCTCTCCGTCAGTGTAAGCAGTGCCGATTACACTTCGACCTTGTCTGAACCCGGCCGTTGAATGTGTAATGGTCACAGCGATAAATGTCACATAGCAAAATGTCCCCCTTTTGCTTACCCCTCTCCTCGCCCACCCCTCTTCATTTTGTGGTGGGATGCACAAGCTTAATAGTTTAGTGGATTTTGAGGTCTATAATGAGTATTAAAAACGGTGTTGAACAACATGAGCCGGGAGCGAACAAGCAAGCAGGAACTTCTTACTGCACTCGTTGCTTTGCCGCCGTTGTGAATTGTGCTTAGCGCATTTTCGGTTATGCCGTCTTCTAGTAAAGGTTGATTGATAGGTTAGTTTGCACGGCAGACTTCTCCTGCTGCGATTACGATCAAGTTTGATGTACGGTGAAAACTCTTCACTAGGCAGTCGCGCTGAAGAATTGAAAGGATGGCATGTTGTCGATTTCAGTCTAACCTGCCGTAGCTACTCTCGCACCGGGTGTGGTGCGTTAGGAACGAAATGGTCGCGTCGCGGCGAGAGGGGCGTCGCGCGCGAAGGAATGTAGCAGGATGCAGCAGTAGGTAAAAAATGCAAGAACAAAAGTACTTATAGTAGAATTATGCATAAAATAATGATCGCATATCGATCGATCAGGCTGAGACACTTCAACACTTCTGCCTCGTTTAGGGGCTGAAGTTGATAGCCGGTCAATCGGTTGGTACTGACACGATTCAGTGCGACAATAGCGGGGCGTACTGCTACAATATGTCTGCAAGTGCAGCCGCTGTGATCGACATCGTCAAAGTTGGCTGCTCCTTGTGGCGATGCATGGTAAGTCGCATCGTACCTTTTATTTATTTATTCATTTATTTATTGAAGACCCTGCATAAGGCGAACGGGAGTCAAATGCTCTGCTTAAAAACACAACGCAACCTAGCTATAGGACAAGAGCTTTTTTTAGCTAGGCGCTTGAAAAACGTGGAAGTGGTGAGTGCCACGTTTGATTTGAGAGTTATAAAAGTAGTACCGGCACGGCAAGTAAAGCTGTAACACCTAATGTAAGTTATCGGCGTTGAATATGAGGTTTTCTCAAGTCCACCTCTAGTTCTAGATTCCAATTTTGCATAAAATTTGGATGCATCGATCTTAGTAATACCGGCCAGCACTTGAACACCATACATGCATCGTAAACCTTCCTACGAGAACATAATTAATGTAATTGTAAACTTTATTCCTAATTCTTTCGAGGCACCTGCGCGTAAGTAGCATCATCAGATATAACCAGCTTTCGGGTGTGGTGCGTTAGGAACGAAATGGTCGCGTCGCGGTGAGAGGGGCGTC